TGGTCCTCAAAGATTGAAATTGTTGCTGTTTGCATGTTTCAGATATGGAGGAACGTTGCAAAACATTTCTGTGAAGCTTCCCATCACACTGAACAAATTTTTCCAGCCTACAGAAATGGCCGCTCAAGACTTCTTCCAGAGGTGGAAGCAGCTAAGCAGGTAAGATGGTTTAGATCCTTCACAGCCATTAATAGCACATGCTGTGTTGCTTTAGTCTGGTGGTGCCTACCCATTACCTTGAGCCCTTCCAGTGGTGTATGAAGGTGTAAATTATTTCATTAGTCAAGCTGATGTAGAAGAACATTGACCTCCTTTGTACTAACGTCTCTGCAGGATTGTACTGGAGAAGGACAAGTCCTTCATTTTTCCACAGCTAGCTGTGCATAATACATTTCTTTTATTTAATTTTTTTAACCCTACTGTTCTTCATAAATAAATCCAAAGCAACTTATAAAATTACTAAACATTAATAAAAGCATTTCCAGAATCCCTAAAAAAATAGTATATAGATCAAGATGAGTTTTTAAATCAGAGAGAGAGAGAGAAACATTAAATGAAATCAAAAGTTCAGCAAAGTAACGTGCCTGAAGCTTATAAGGATGAGAGTTCCAAGATCTGGGTGCTGCAGTAGAAAAGTATCCCAACCAACTGTGCTCCAGAAAATGTTGGAACATATAGCAGGACCTCCAGTGTTGAATTCAGCAGGTGATCAGGATCATATGGGAGGAGGGAGACCTTCAGATATCCTGTTCCCAAACAGTTTAGGGCTGGGGGTTGTGGTCCTCTAGATGTTGTTGGACTCCCAGTTTCCTTTGGTCCACACAGAATGGCCAGTAGTCAGGAATGGCAGGAGTCTACAACATCTGGAGGGCCACAGCTTCCTCATCAATGGTTTAGGGCTTTATAGGCAAGAACCAGCAGCCTGAATTGTGCTTGGGAAATTGTGCCTGAATTGTGCTTGGGAAAACACTGGGAGCCGCTGCAACAAAACTGGAGTGAGGTGATCAGTAAAGTAGACTCCAGAAACCATTTTGCACCAGTTTAAATTTCCAAAAGTGTTTCAGAGGACACTGTATGCAGAGCGTGTTCCAGTTATCCAGTTTGGGTGTCACCAGAGCATATGTGTCAATTACCAGATCTGCTGAATGTTCCTGTCAGTAATTGATAATGATCCATATCTTTCCCTCTTCCCAATCCCCTAGGGTAATTTTGCAGTGTTTTAAAAACTGGTCCTGCTTGATAAGTTTACATGTAAATTTAACATTTTAGTTGATTTTTAAAAGGTGGTCAACCTACCTGAATTGTGGGTGGGTTGGGTGGAAGGAGGCAAAACAGACTGCTGAATCAATATTTGGTTCATTGGCTGAATGATGTCCTTTTTGTGAAGGCAGGAGGAAGCTGATGTAACCCTGCAGCGAAAAACTGCTTCAAGCCTCAATTTTTATAGGTTCAGTTTTAACCACCCCTAATTTGCTGGTTCTATATGAAATGCTGCCTAACTCTCTCATGTTTGTACTGTAAAACCAAAGCAAATGTTAACTACTTTAACCTTGGTGCTACTTTGCAGCCCTCAACAGGAAGTGCAGAACATCTTTAAAGCAAACCATCCAATGGATACCGAAATTACAAAGGCAAAGGTGGGTAGCAGGTGGCTGTTATCCTCCTCCTCCTCCTCCTCCTCCTCCTCCTTCGGCTATCACTCATAGCCGAGTAAGATTACTCACCATCACAAGGTGATGATCGCACAATTGAGATCGTTATCACCATTGCTACTTGGGCATTTATAACCTGCACACTTCATTGCTGTTGCTCCCAGGGTGCTTTGCCAGAAAATAAAAATCATCTGCAATAAAATAAAATGTGTCAAGCAATGTTAAAACAAAAATGTAAATGCATGTAAAAACACACACACTGCAGCAGAATCAAACCCAGTTTAAATTGCATTTTTTAAAGTTCTGGGCAAATAAGAATAAAAAAGCTCTTTTCCTAGCCCCTCCAAAGGACATGAGCTTTGACTTCGGGATATCATTCCATGGACAACTGTGAGCCTTTTCTCTGAGTACTGCTCATTTCTGACAAAGAGAATCTGGAGAAGCATACAGGAAATTTTATCCACATACAAGCCCACTTACACACACAACTGAGGTATGGATATTTGCAGTGGAGATGCCTATGTGCAGTTGGGGTGCTAAGTTCTGGGGAAGGTTCTGCACATAGAGACCTGCACATAATAAATAGGCTTTCTTCCTGCAGGTATCTATGCCTAATGTGAGAAAATCATGTGGTAGGGGGAAGTACATGAAATGTAAACTGCCAAATGTTACCAGTTCCTTTCAGAGCACAAAGGCTTGTTTGTGCCTAGACCAGGCTTCCTCAACCTTGGCCCTCCAGATGTTTTGAGACTACAATTCCCATCATCCCTGACCACTGGTCCTGCTAGCTAGGGATCATGGGAGTTGTAGGCTGAAAAACATCTGGAGGGCTGAGGTTGAGGAAGCCTGGTTTAGACTTTGTAGGGTGGTTCTTCCAGATGTCTGTCTGTTGTCTGCTTTTTGTAGGTAGAAGCCTCATGAGTTGTAGCCAGCAATCAAAGCAGCTGAGTTCTTGAAACTTAAATAACCCATTCTGAAAGCATGCAAGGAGTCCAATACAAGGCATTTTGGGGAAAATCTAGTGCAAGAACCACTGCTCCACAGATATGCTCCCACTACAATTGGAGACATTCCTGCAAGAATGTATCTGTGGAGCCCCAGTTCAGAGTCTGGTTGTGAGGGGCTGCATGGAGGTTGTTGACCACCATTTGACCTGCCGTGTGTTCAGCATGTTGACCAAGCCCATCTTTTGTAAGGCCCCTTTCCTTCCTTTCTCACCACCTGCTCTTTCTTTTTCATGGTCTCTGGTTCAAATCCCCTTTTTGGCTTTCCTTTGGCAGATTATTGGCTTTGGCACAGCGTTACTGGAAGAAGTAGATCCCAATCCTGCTAACTTTGTCGGAGCCGGCATAATCCACACAAAATCATTCCAGATTGGATGTTTGATGCGTCTTGAACCCAACCTGCAGGCACAGGTAATGGCTTCTTGTTTACTTGCTGAATGTTTTGAAAGTGTGGAAGAGCAAAACGGAAGAGATTTTTAAAAATATACCACATAGTTTTACTATGCCCACTTCTGTGACTCTAGCGTGCATCAGCCAATATTATGTCTGAGGTTGTTTTCTAGGAACAATCAGCCAAGACAGAGTGAAATATCTTGCGGCTGTTCTATGGTTCCAGCAGCTGTGCAATTATTCTGCTTCCTCGGTTAACATAAGACATAATGCATTCTTTTGAGACCCTGCTTTGGAAATAATACCTGGCAGACAAGTGGTAAAAATTGCTTTGCTGTGACTAATTTGCCTGTGTGCAGTGCCACATGCAAGTCTACGCCTCTGCTGAACTAGACTGGAACATTCTAGAACATGGGTAGGCAAACTAAGGCCTGGGGGCCAGATCCAGCCCAATCACCTTCTCAATTCTGGGCTGCATCAATAAGAGTATAGCATCTAGATCAAGGGAAGTAATAGTGCCACTGTATTCTGCTCTGGTCAGACCTCACCTGGAGTACTGTGTCCAGTTCTGGGCACCACCGTTCAAGAAGGACACTGACAAACTGGAACGTGTCCAGAGGAGGGCAACCAAAATGGTCAAAGGCCTGGAAACGATGCCTTATGAGGAACGGCTAAGGGAGCTGGCATGTTTAGCCTGGAGAAGAGGAGGTTAAGGGGTGATATGATAGCCATGTTCAAATATATAAAAGGATGTCATATAGAGGAGGGAGAAAGGTTGTTTTCTGCTGCTCCAGAAAAGCGGACACGGAGCAATGGATCCAAACTACAAGAAAGAAGATTCCACCTAAACATTAGGAAGAACTTCCTGACAGTAAGAGCTGTTTGACAGTGGAATTTGCTGCCAAGGAGTGTGGTGGAGTCTTCTTCTTTGGAGGTCTTTAAGCAGAGGCTTGACAACCATATGTCAGGAGTGCTCTGATGGTGTTTCCTGCTTGGCAGGGGGTTGGACTCGATGGCCCTTGTGGTCTATTCCAACTCTATGATTCTATGATTCTAATCCGGCCCGTGGATGGTCCAGGAATCAGTGTGTTCTTACATGAGTAGAATGTGTCCTTTTATTTAAAATGCATCTCTGGGTTATTTGTGGGGCCTGCCTGGTGTTTTTACACGAGTAGAATGTGTGCTTTTATTTAAAATGCATCTCTGGGTTATTTGTGGGGCATAGGAATTCGTTCATCCCCCCCCCCCCGTATAGTCTGGCCCCCCACAAGGTCTGAGGGACAGTGGACCGGCCCCCTGCTGAAAAAGTTTGCTGACCCCTGCTCTAGAGCTCTAAAAGTAAAGGGCCTTAGAGCACATGCCTTATAGGCAGAAGATGCCTGGTTCAGTCGCTGGCATCTCCAGGTAGTGGAACACTTGTCAGAAATCCTGGTGAGTGGTTGCTAGTCAGTGTAGGCAGTACTGAGCTAGTTAGACCAATGATCTGTTTATGAGGCAGCTTCCCATGTCACCATGTTTCTCAGGTTCACTTGCCTCAAGGGGTAGGATGAGCACCCTTCTGCCAGCTTCTCTCAGTAGCAGCATCTAGTGGGACATTCTCTGTATGCTCATACATCTTTAGCACTTTCTTCTTGCCTTTACGTAGGGAGCTTATTTCCTTGTGTGATACCTTTGTGGAAGTTGTTTCTTATCCCCCCCCCTTTTTATGATTATGTACAGCCCAAAGTATACTTCATTTTCATTCTAAAGGATAACTGGGTTATTTTAAAATGCTGTTGTACTAAAACGTACAGCACTGCTTCTCCAAAAAGCTCTACTTTTTTCATGGTTGTTGTCGTCTTCTTTGGCGATCACTCGTAGCCAAGTAAGATTGTCTTCCATAAACACGGTTTTAACAATGAGTCCGTGACTCTTATGTCATTTTGTGAGCGGTGGGAAATAAGCCAAGTGGTAACGATGCACCAGTTTATACTTGCAGCGGAAGATTTTGGAGACACACCAGCTAGGAAGCCAGACAAAATTTTTTATTGTCTGTCCGTCTCTCTTAAACAAGGAAACTCCTTAATTCCACACAGATACATCTCAGTCCACTGCCACCTGGTGACTAAACTATGTAATGACACTATTGGTGTTTATACCCCACCCTCCAGCCTAAAAAAGTTCCCAGAGAGCTTACAAAGATTAGTCATGGAACAGTCTTTGTTCTAAGGCTTGCAATACCAAATACATGATACAGAAGAGGGGGAGAGGGTAGAAGGGGCAATAGGCAAATTCTGGCACTGGTTCTTAGCTACATCTTTGGTTATCTCTCAGTGAGTGAAACACTTTCATCAGGTGTGAGTACAATATTACTGGATGTTGCATTCATGGGATCAGCCCTCTAGGGCACCAAAAATATCCTGGCATCTCATTTGGGCCTCGCTGTAAAGTAAGGCTTTTGGGGCGGGGGGAGGTCCTAGATGCACCCCTGCTGAGAACCCAAGGAGAGCCCCGTTTGCCCAGCCAGCCTGTGGTCCAAAACTTTCTTTAGAAAGTTGATGAGGAAAAGGCCACAAATAGGACATAAATAATTAAATGTTGCAAAGATTTTGTGTTTTTAAATGTACACCACCAGCCACTGTTCACTTCCATTCAGATCTTACCTGTATAAATGTGTTGGGGGGGCGTTTTTAGGGGGGCAGCCACTGAAAAGTTGTTCTTCTGTTCTTTTCCAGATGTACAGATTAACACTACGGACAAGTAAAGAAACGGTGTCCCGAAGGTTATGTGAATTACTTTCGGAACAGTTCTGAGCCATAATGTGCAACCCCTTCTGATTCTCCATTTCTGCCATTGTCCATGTCCTGCTCCAAAAATGTTTTGTACACCAGTGTCTGCAAAAATAATTGCCACCCCATTCACATCCCTGCCTTAAAGGACCTGTCCCTTTTTATGTGAAACAAATGATATGTGCAACATAAAATTACTTAAATGTGAAAAAAAATAAAATGACTCTTAGATTTTTGGTGCAAAGAAGCTGGGAGGTCTTGTATGTGTGTGGGAGGTCTTGTGTGTCTCAACTCAACTGTGCTTCATATATTTTTGGCAGGAGTTTTTTATTAAAAATCACTTCAGGTATGGTTAATCCCAACTAAATGAAACAGTTTCGCTGGAAATGCCACTGTAAATTGCTAGAGGCATGCTAGAAGAAGGAAAAAAAGGTATGAAAGAGAAGTTGGTGTGCAGAGAGGGCTAGATTCCATTCCTGCTCTATTGAATGTTACCCCATGTCCTTTTTAAAGGATCTAGATACATCTGAAGATGGCTATAAGTATTTGCTCTGTAAAGAACATTTGGAGGCATAAGCACATATTCTGATTCATATTTTAATATCCTCAAATGACTTCCTTTAAATCCCAGGCCTCCACTTTTCTCCAAGTTCTGAACTACCAAAGAGTTATCGTCATGATAAATGCTTAAGTAAGAAAACCACATTGGGTTCTTGGGTACAACATGTTGTTGTTGTTTTTTCCAAAGCTCTGGTTGATCATCTAAACATCAGTACACTTTGACTTTAAATTAAGAAATCACTTGAAGTATTCTTTTACCTAAGACTTTCCAAGCAACCCAAGGCATTGGTATTCCTGCCCCCCCCCGCACTTTCCAGTTTAACAAAAAAAGAAGAAAAGTATTTTTTCCCCATTTAACATCTTCTGAATCATAGGGATAGCCACTAGCTCTAATCAGGGAGAGTTTAGCCTATTCAGATTTGAAATACACTGTGGGTTTCTGCAAGTATGATGGGCAGGAAGCTTATTGCTTTGAAATGCTTGTCATGTCACCAGAACACTTTTGGTCTAGAACTTGACAGTCCTGTTTCAAAAAGTGTAGTAATGGCACCTGTAGTTTGGTTAAGATCTATGCATTGTGGAGCATGCTGTGGAACTGGCATCTTCTTGACAGAAGTAGAATGATCGAGTACAATCTGCACTACCCGTCACACCTCTGAAAGAGCCTCCTTACCAGAAGTAATTTTATGATCAATTATATATCGAAGGCAATGCAAAAATTAACAAAAGTAAAATAAGCTACAATTGTTGTTTGATTACAATGACAGTTGCTGCTTGAGTTTATGAAGGCTTTTAACAAACAACAACGTGGCTTTATTCTGTCCCAGTGGTCTGGAATTAACTTATAAAACTGAAAATCCACTTTCCCTTTTTAATGTGGGGCTATTGGATCAGATCATATTGACCAACTTCTCCCAATCAAATTTGATGAGTTATATTGAAGCACATTGTATGGAACTACACTGTGTGTAACATGGTAAAATAATAAAACAACTCTTACATCCTCCTATCACTGGGGAAATTTTTAGGAGTTGTCATTATGACAGCCCATTGCATTACTGTGATTACACTACTGTAAGATGGTATTAAGCATTCAGAGGTGTTCTGAAGTGTGTTATCGCAGATGCTGGGAAGAACGGCCATCTCATTTTTAACATAGATCCGTCCCACTGGAAGCATAGTTTGTCTCCTTTTTAATTCCACCTTAATACACTGTTTTTGTGCACTGTTCACTTGTATAATTTTTGCAAATAAATGTGGTTTTATCCACAAAGGGTGATATTTAACTAAATTATACTCAGGGTAGGCCATGTGAAATTAATGGACTTCTTAGATAAGTCCATTGACTTCAGTGGATTTTCTCAGAGTATGACTAACATTGGATATCATTCATAGAGAAAAAGGACTCTAAATATAGGTGGCTCAATGACCAACTGTATATATGAGTAATCAAACTTTATGCAAGATTTCACCTCTGATATGAGCCATATAGGCATTGTTTTGAAGAAAACTTTTTTTTTAAAAAAGTTTCTCTTTATTGGGATAAATGACCTTGATTTACCAAAGTTGTGTGTCCTCCTCCATCTCAAGCAGAAGTTAACAGTTTCTGTGGCTAAAGCAGTATTAGTAATTAAGGTACAGTATTTGTTTTGTTGACATGTGAAAATACCTGAACAGGAAGACAAAATATTGTGCACTTTTAGGCCTACACTCCAATATGTAATGTGTAGTCATCTCACTTGTAAAAAAAATAAAAATCACAAGCTTATATGGTGGGCTTTGATTATTATGACTGTAAAAAAATTGAAAATACAGTATAAAAAAAACTAATCATGTTATCTTTAATGGAAAAAAATAAATGGCTAGAAGAGTAAAAATTCCTTTCCTTTTTCATTCCCAGAGCATGACTTATTTTCCTACCTAGTAGGGCTAACAAATGTGAAAATTTCATTTTACAGTCAGCGTTCAGAATTACGATTTAGATAAATACAAAACATCACCACCTACTGTGCAGAGGAAACGAAAGCCTGATTGCATAGGACAAAGACTTTGGCCCTGATTTATTTATTGCAACTCTCCAGTCCTCTTGACCATTGAAGCAGAGTACTTTTGAGTGTTTCCCAGCCAGCAAACTCATAACTCAGCGCCTTCCAGCTAAATATGCTATTTATTATTATTATTATATCACTCATTTCCCCCCAAGCTATTCCCTTTCCCCCCTTTTTTTCCTGGGTCTTTAGGGATCTGCTTAGAGTGAGGTTGGATGAAGACATTAGCCTCTTGGGCTCCCTGCATTAGTGCTTCCTGGCTCACATTTTCTCTGATCTAATGACAGAAATGAAGCTCACATGGATCTGTACTTCACCTACTTCTAGTAGTGCTAAGAGGTGGGGGCAGGGCACATGCAAGTCTCAGGACCACTCCTTGGCTTGGCAGAAGTAGAACTGCAGGACATGTAATGTAATGAATGAGTAGCTGTTAGGCTTTAGTGGAGCACCTCTGCTATAATAAAAATAAAAATAAATAAATAATAAGTGTCCCGTGGCAAAATGAGAGCATCCAAATATAAGGTAGTACCGTAGTTTACTAGAGAGGCTGCCTGGGTATGTAGAAGTATAGAAGTTTGAATTAGGAGAAAAGCCCACAACCTGACAAGGATTTGCAAGCTTCCAGGAGTGATTGAATGCTGATGGCAGATGAGGCTAATATAAGCCATAATGCTCTTGAGGCATCAGGCATAAGCCTGCATTTTATTAATGTTTGATCAGGGCTTGTATATTAAAGAGGGCTTAGATTTTCAAAAGTTTCATGCCAGGCAGACCAGCGGCTTAAGAAACACTGGCAATGTTTTCCTCCTAGACAAGGGGCCCCTTGATTTGATAGCAGAAACAATTCTCAAAGTCGTAAAAGCTGGAATTACAAACTGAGTAAGGACACTGACCCTACATGTTACAGAAGATAACAAAGGCAGAGATAAATATAATTAGGAATGAGTAAATAGTAAAATAATGCCAATGTGCCTCCCAGTAAAATGAGCCAGATCTTCTTTCTAAGGTTAAAAGGCCAAGACCAAATGGAGAAGAATCTGGCTGGCAGAAAGAGAGGCTTTTTGGGAAGTCTTTTTTAAAGCATTTTTGGGAAGTCTTTTTAAAAGTTGTTTCTTTCTTAAACTGAGAGAAAAGGCAAACTGGCTTGGCTGGGGAAAAAGAAGCTTCTTCCTATTTATTTGAGGCTGGAAGGGAGGGTGAAAGGGGAAGGTGTAAACTAAAGAGCCTTCTTTAAAAACTGTTTTTTACTGAGTTCCTTCCTTTCTACTTTACAAAGGCCTTATTCCTTTAAGAGGCTACCTGTGTTGTGGTATTAAATATATTGTCTTAAATGATAATTATGCAAGGATTTAGGAAAGTAACAAATTTAGATGTTAGATTCTTATTTCATAGAATCATAGAGTCCTAGAGTTGGAATAGACCACAGGGCCATTGAGCCCAGCCCCTGCCAACAAGAAGACGCCATCCAAGCAGTCTTGATATATAGCTGTCAGACATTGGTTAGAAACCTTCAAATGAAAGTAGATCTTTCAATGTTGATGTGAACTCAAGATCCTTGACATATGTTTAAGAATAAAATTTAAGATTAACCATTTGTTTAGAAGGCAATAGGGCAAGGAGGCAAGAGGTGAGCTGGTAATTAAGATTCATGTAAGATATATTATTACTTATTGTCATTTATATATAGCTCTTTGTCTCCCTTATAAGGATAGAAGGAAATGGGTTATTTTTGTGATTGGTTATACCAATCAGCCAATAGGAATTTCAACCAGGCTGATGGGACAGAGGCAGCCACAGGAGGAGCAAAGGGGGCTGGATTAAGGGAATATAAGTGCTGGCCATAATGGCAGGAGCCCAGGCCAGAGCTTGGTAATCATATACCACTGTGCCTCTCATTTATTTGTCTGACAAATAAATAATTATTTAATTTCTCTATTGCTGCGTTGAATATTTCATTCCAGCTAAGCGTTAACCACAAGCAGGGTGCTACACCTTCTCATCCTGGCAAAGATGTTGTGTTGGGGTAAAAAAGACGAAGAAGAAAGAAATGCCCCATGGCGGTTATCAAGAAAAAACTGACCCAGAGAAGCAGATAAAGCATGTGAACAGCAGCAATTAATTTGGGAAGTGCCCCATCTCCTACATGGGAGTGATTTAGGATGTTCAGTATCTATGTGTCTTCCCCAGCTGTTGCTCATAACTTCTGGCATGCTGCAAAAACTTATGGTGGCAGTCATAACACTCTCACCAGTTACAATGCTCAATGTAGGTTGTAAACTACAACCCTGCTAAACTTTATAAAGGTTTTTAATTGTTTTAAGCTCTTGTGAGTTTTTATTGAGTTTTATAGATTGTTTTCCTTCCTTTCCTGTGTAATCTTTGTGAGGATATGATGTTTTTTCGTAAGCCACCTTGAGAGTGTGGATTGGACATCAAAGACTATAGGGGGCTCCGGGTGCCTGAGCACCCACAAAATTTTTGGGGTGGGTGCACCCACATTGCTGGGCCCCTGGTGCAACTTTTGAGGTCTTGCAAGGCCTCGGAGATGCTGTCTGAGGCCCTTGCGAGAGCTTCAGAAACCTTGATAATCCGTGGCACTCGCGAATGTCAGGTTCCAAAGTCTTGGTGAGACCTTCAT